TAATTTATGAATATACCATTGTAGAACTTAGGTTTCACCATCTGCAACACCAAAATTGGAAGGGTCGATTCCGATGCACTCAATCCATCAATGCAAACATTGACGTGATTTCCCCATAACGTACAATTCAACCAAACGCCACTACAAAAAAAAAGTTAAAATTATTTTTAAATGTGATATGTGTCGAAATTTTTTAGTAATTAGTTAATAAAATAACGTATCATGCAATTGAATTATTTAGTAATTTTTTCAAAATATAATATTTTTTTTAATTAAAATGAATTCGGTTATTAAAAAGTCACTTACTTGTGGTCCTTCAAGGTAACCTCCATCATTTGCTCTGGGGCATTATTAACCATACGGGTTTCAGGCGCAGTTCGACTAACTACTTTCCCGATTATATCTGAAAATCCATAAAAATACAATTTTACAAATTTCATAATCATAATACATGAAATGTATTTCATATGTGTAAGTATTTAAGTTATGTAAATGTAAATGGCTCTTACCAACTAAAAAGACTTGGTCAGCAAACTTTGTTTTGAGTACATCTTCAAAACTCTTAAAGTGGAATCGAAAATAAGGAAATCCATTTTCCGATAGTTTTTGAATCTTGGTCTTTCCCAAAAATTGGAGCATGCAAGGGTGATTGGTAGTTTTTGTGCCTTGCAAATTGCGTATGACCCTGACCTTCATGATTAAGTAAACCGCATTTTCTTGCAAAGCTTGTTTGAATGTGCTTATATTAGTATCTTTGATCTAAGCATGGATCCGATCACCCTAACAACAAATATAAAACGTTAATCTATAATTAAAATTATATTTTTTGTTTAAAGATCTATTATATGTAAAATTTAAAAAAATGTAGAACTAACCTCTGAGTCGTGGAAAACAATATCCAATGATTCCGGCCCTCGAGAATGAGCAGGAACGTAGTAAACTCTAATCGCTCTTAGCTTCATCATCAACAATCCGGAATTTTCATGAACATATTTTAGGGCGGTAATCATTCCCATGTTCATACAAAAACGAAGGTAGAGCACCGATTAATTAAAACTATTTAAAACTCTCGTTTCCTGAACACTCGTTTACTTTTTTGGCCCGGTAAGGTAGCGTATTTATACTACTCAATTAATTTTCATGAACAGTTAAAGTTTATTATGGTAATGGTAATTATGGTAATTAATACAATTATGGTTTATTATGGTAATTATAATTACATACAATCCGGAATTTTAATTACATACAATTAAATTTTATTATGGTAATTACATTTTTAATTACCTTTTGTGTTATACGTTCTTATTTCTTTAATTACTATTGTTAGATGTTCTATCGGTAGTTACTAATTAGATTAATTAGATTATTTTTTAGAGACCTTTTTTTATATACGTTTTTCGTTACCTTTTTTTATATACGTTTTTAGTTACCTTTTATTACCATTCGTAAAAATAGTTTTATTGCATACATTTTTATGCTCAAAAAATATTACACGTTTTTAGTGTAATTATGTTTGAATATTTTATTATTTTATTACTACTTTAAATTACTTGCCATTTTAATTGAGTAATTACATAATTACGGTAACTCCATTAATGACCATATACTAAACAAATCCATTGTTCAAAATAGGAGACTTTAATGATCCGTTCAAAGTACATGTATATATTACCATTTTTAAATTCAATAATTTAGTAGATATTATTACATATATATAAATTAGTGAACATAATACGAAAATAATATATATATTTGATTAGCCTTGTTTATTATTATTATTATTATTATTATTATTATTATTATTATTATTATATTATTATTATTATTATTATTATTATTACTATTATTATATTATTATTTTTATTATTATTATATTATTATTATTCTTATTATTATTCTTATTATTATTATTATCAGTACATGGTACCATGACACATTTTATATTACCATAGCCAAAGGAATGTATATAATGGCTATATAACATGTAATTAATTATATTCAAGGTAATTTTAATTGAGTAATTACTTAATTACGGTAACCACATTAATGATCCGTTTAATTAGCATTTTGTAATTACCATATGGAGTGAAAAGAATTACCATATTTTCTACAACACGAAATGGGCGGGAAAATAAAAATGTGAATCTATGGCTTTTTAAATAATAGATAGATTTTTTGAAAAAACTGTTATTTTAATTACTAAAGGAGTGAAAAATGTTATTTCAATTTTCACATTTTTGTATTGCTTAGATTTAAATTTTTGTATTTTTTAAACACTAATAACTCTATTACAATGTATATAGTAACTATTTACACACTAGAATTTCTTTTCATGTGCTTCAAAATGCATATTTTTTTCAAAAAAAAATACTTCAACTTTAAAATATACTCCCTAAAAAATACAAAAAGTTAAAAAAGGAAAACAATAGAAAAAAGAAAGGGAGAGAGATAAAAAAGAAATATTTGTACTCACTATAATGCATTAGGCGAGTAAAGCGAATAAGAAAAAAACAACAAAAAATTTTAAAAGGAAAGGAGAAAACGTACAAAAAGTAGAAAAGAAAATGAAAGAAAATAAATAACAATTACGTTTAATCAATACAAAATGGAAAATTGAAATAAAAAACCTATGGAATGTTAGAAATCGGGGAGATGTGTATAGAGGAACAACGCTGCGTAGCAGCATTACTTGGTATAATGTAACGTAAAATGGCTTGATAGACTGAACAAATCGTGTGAAATCACGTTTTCAGATTAAAGTTATTTCGGGGTATCCCAAAATATTTCAATCGGATAAGACGTTAGTATATAGAGCGAGTATGGGCTTCCTCTTTATCTCAAACATATCATGCAAGCCCATAATATAGGCATTTGGGCAATCGGACGTGTCCATTGGCCGGATAGACGCAACCCGTGGGGAAAAATTTATCTTTTGGGCAGTTATCCAATTCGACTTATTCGAATCAGTGGCAACTTATTCAAAAAGTTTGGGTCTTCCAAAAACCACTCATGTGCTGAACTATTCGAATAAATGAGAATTTATTCGAATAGTTGGGGTTCTCCAAAAATAGGCATGTGTTGAACTATTCAAATAAATGGACATGTATTCGAATAGTTGGGGTTCTCCAAAAACAGGCATGTGTTGAACTATTCGAATAAATGTGAATTTATTCAAATATTTCACTATATTCAGCCTTATTTGAGTGTGTTTTTCACACGTTCGAAAATTACATATTTTAGACTCTGATTACGAAAATCCGAAAGATTTTCATAAAGAAAAATAATGTTCGAAATAAAAAATCGATCCCAGCCAGGGGCTGCCACCCCATCGTGGAATTTTGAATATCGTTGAACGAGCGTGCACTCCGCACCTCCTAACTCGTTAACAACGTCTACTAAAATTCATATCCGATCTTAAGTTAATCCAATTACACAAAATACCAGATGACACTAAAATCGCCAACATGGAACAGAAAAAGAATAAAAATAAGAAAAAATTAAAAAAGAACAAAAGAAAAAAATATCAAAATGAAGAAGAAGAGAGAGATCAGAGGAAACAACGAAAAATAGAAACAAATATTTTTACTTCACATTATGCAGTGGGTGTGCAAATAAAAAAACCAAAAAAAGGAAAAATCGAAAAAGGAAACAAAAAGCATACAAAAACAAAAAGAAAAACATAATTATTTTTAAAAAATAAAGAAATTTAAACAATATGTTGAAATATTGGAATAATAGGATTGCTCCTTAAATTATGAAGTACATGATTCCCGCAGCGACATATTCTGCTTCGGTGGTGGAGAGTGCAACACTAACCTGCTTCTTACTAAACCACGAGATTAACGAATGACCGAATAAGTGGCAAGTACCGCTGGTACTTTTCCTATCGAGTTGGCAACCTGCAAAATCCGAGTCGGAATAGCCAACAAGATGACATGTTGAACCTTTGGGATACCAAAGACCTACGTTCAACGTGCCCGCGAGATATCGCATTATCCTTTTGATCGCAACCAACTGCGACTCTTTAGGACATGATTGATACCTAGCGCATATACAAATGGAGTACATGATATCCGGTCTACTCGCGGTAAGATAAAGTAAAGAGCCGATCATACCTCGGTAGCGCTTGATGTCTACCTCTTTAGCTTTTTCGTCCTTGTCGAGATAGCAAGAGGTGCTCATTGGTGTGTCAATGGATTTGGATTCGGTAACATCGAATCTTTTAAGCAATTCCCTACAATATTTCGTTTGACACACGAATGTTCCTTCTTTGCATTGTCTAATTTGCAGCCCAAGGAAGAACTTTAATTCTCCCATCATCGACATTTCAAATTCACTTTGCATCTTATCGGAAAAATCCATGCACAAAACCTCGTTAGTAGCACCGAATATGATATCATCTACGTAAACTTGAACCAAAAGGATGTCTTGGTTATCTTTCTTGATAAAAAGAGTAGTGTCGACTTGACCCCGTTTGAACTCATGGTCCAAAAGAAATTTGCTTAACCGTTCATACCAAGCACGAGGTGCTTGTTTGAGACCGTAAAGCGACTTTTTGAGTTTGAAGACATGTTCGGGAAACTCATAGTCTTCGAAACATGGGGGTTGTTCGACATACACTTCCTCTTGAATGATACCATTAAGGAAGGCACTTTTAACATCCATTTGATAAAGTTTAAAATCCATTGTAGATGCAAATGCAAGCAATAAACGAATAGCTTCTAAACGTGCAACCGGTGCATAAGTTTCTTCATAATCAATGCCTTCTTCTTGATTCTAGCCTTTAGCTACAAGCCTAGCTTTGTTTCTAGTGATTATTCCATTTTCATCGAGTTTGTTACGAAACACCCATTTTGTGCCAATAACGGAATGATCATTAGGTCTAGGCACCAATTCCCAAACATCATTGTGTTTAAATTGGTTAAGCTCCTCTTGGATTGCCATAGACCAATGTTCATCATTAATAGCATCCAAAACGGTTGTTGGTTCAATTTGTGAAACAAAGGCCATGTGATTAATTGTGTTCCTAAGAGAATTACGAGTAGAAACTCCCTGCGTTATGTCACCAATGACATTGTCAATCGGGTGGTTCTTCAATGTTCTCCATTCCTTAGGAAGCTCCGTTTGTTCCTGCATTTTCTCTTCTTCTGGTTCCTTTTCCTTAACGATTTCTTCTTCATCATCATAAGAACCTGCAACATTATCAACAATACCTTTTCTCGCCAAACGAGCATCAAATTCATCAAAGACAACATGAATAGACTCCTCTACGGTCTTAGTACGCTTGTTGAACACTCTATATGCCTTACTACGAAGAGAATAACCTAAGAAAATTCCTTCATCCGACTTAGCATCAAATTTTCCCAAGTTATCTTTTCCATTATTATGAATGAAAACTTTACATCCAAAGACATGAAAATAGGAAAGGTTAGGCTTTCTTCCTTTGTAAAGTTCATAGGGCGTTTTCTTGAGTATCGGTCTAATGACGGCTCG